AAGCCATTTTATATAAGGAACTCAGGTTATGGATTTTAATCCCTCCAATTTCTCTTTGTCTCTCTCTCTTGTTCAGTTGTGTTGTTCATATACTTTCTGGGAGTTGAGCCACACACTGGAACATGGTCAGCTAAAGTGGACTGTACCCCTAAAGAAAGCTGACTCTCTTTTCTTCCAGAAGCCATCAGTGTTTATAGCCCCGCAGTTAAGGGCATGTGTAGGGCTTTCTAAAGTCCTCCCCACTGAATGTTAGAATGTTGACGGGCTTAATCTTGTGTAGGCAAGCCGCAGCTGCTGTGAGTGCATTAGTGTCGTGGCTCTGTCATCAGAAGACACTGTTTGCTGTGGGTTCTCCCTGACCTCTGGTTCTTAAGATCCCTCCGCCTCCTCTTCCTCAATGGTCCCCAAGCCTTGGGGAGGGGGTGTGATACGGATGTCCCTTTGGGAATTGAGTGCTCCCCAGTCACATACTGTCTGCACTCTGACTAGCTGTGAGTTTCTGTGTTAACCACCGTTACTGCACAAAGAAACAGGCAGTGGCAATACTCTACAGAGAGAGTTTAGAGGGCAGCTTGGTATTACGTCTGTTTAGCAAAATACTTTTTTAAAAAGAGTAGTAGGTTCACCCTTGGGTTGTGAGCTTCCCAACCATAGGTTCTTAGCCAGATTTTCAGTACCAGCATGTGTTTCCTCCTCTATAGCAGTTCTTAAGTCAACCAGAAAGAGATTGGTTACTTCTATAAACTCTGTGGCATCCCCTTGATTGCTGTTCACATATGGGGAATATTGTTGATAACTTCTATTTCTCCTCAAGTAGCCTGCATAGCACCTATTATGAGAACTAGGTACCAGGGAAGAACCTTACTGGTCTCTACCAACTTGATTTGTATTCTGTGGCCAATGTGTGTAGTGTCTTCAGAAATCAGATCTTATAATTAAGATCTGGCTGTCAACCAAGAGCAGTGGCAGTAGTCTGTATTTTATTTTTTTCCAGTTTGTCTTTCTGAGGCAGAGTTTTGCTGGAGATATATATCTGTAGATATCTATAGATACATTATATATCTCAGTATATAAATATATCTATCTATCTATCTATCTATCTATCTATTAATATTGATATAGATATCCTAGCTTGGTTTGGAACTTGCTTTGTAAAAACTCATGTTGGCCTTCATTCTCCCCATTGTTTAGTATTACAAACAAATACAGCTATGCCAAGCTGGTTTAATTGTATTATTTATTTTATCTTTCTTTAGTTTTTGAGATGTGGTCTTACTGTGTAGCCCAGGCTGCCTCAGACTCGGTGTAGCTGGAATTATAAGCATGTTGATATGTCTGTCTTTATAATAAAGCCTATAGTTCTTTATGAGAATATGATGATCTGATACAACTTTGTTTCCCAGAATTTTTCTCAGAATATGATTGGGCATTATGCAGTATCTTTTGATCATCCACATTATTTCATTGATGAAATGCATGATACTAGGCACAGTGTTACAGATAAAAGCACTAGGAAACCTTGCATCATGATAGGTTTACCTGCTAAGTTAGTTTACAAAAAGTGAGGAGGGGGGCTGGAGAAATGGCTCAGTGGCTAACAGCAAATACTATTTTTTTAAAAGATTTATTTGTTGTTTTAATTAGGTGTGTGTATGTGTGTGTGTGTGTATGTCCATGAATGAAAGTGTCTACAAAGGTCAGAGGTGTCTGATTCCCCTGGAGCTGGGGTTATAGGCAGTTGTAAGCTGTCTGATGTGGATGCTAGGAACCAAGCTCAGGTCCTCAGGAAGAGCAGTATTAGAGTTTATACTGTTACAGAGGCCCCAAGATCCTGACATCCATATCAGATGGTGTACAACCACTTGTAACTCCAGCTCCAAGGGCTCTGACAACCTCTGAGAACACTCACAGTCACACATAATTAAAAATCTTTTTTTTGTTTTTCCCAAGGCAGGGTTTTTCTGTAGCTTTGAAGCCTGTCCTGACACTCAGTCTGTAGACCAGGCTAGCCTTGAACTCACAGAGCTCCACCTGCCTCTGCCTCCAGTGCTGAGATTAAAGGTGTGCGCCACTACCACCCAACTCATAATTAAAAATATTTTTTAAAAATTAGTTTTTAAAAAATGTTGTAAATAAAGGATTATAGACCTGTAATTTACCTTGCACTGGGGGTGTCTTCTTTATGTATCTAAAAATAGTCTTAGTAAGTATTTGCTCTTACTATATTGGATATATGGAACTTTGTGTGAATGTATGACTGTATGTGTGTGCATGCACACACCTGCCTGTGGAGGCCAGGGGCTTGGATCTCCTGCAGCTGGAATACAGGCAGTTGTGCTTCACTCTTGTGGGCGCTGGGAACTGATCTCACATCCTAGGGAGAGCAGCAAATGGTCTTAACCACTAAGCCATCCATCTAGTTCCATTTTTTCTTTAAAAAAAGATTTAGTTATTTTTATTTTATGTGTATGAATGTATGTGTGCTACATGCATCCCCACTGCCCATGGAGGTCAAAGATGGCAGTGTATCTCCTGGAACTGGGGAGTGATGGTTGTGAGCTGCCATGGGAGTGCTGGGAACCAAACCTGGGTCCTTTGCAAAAGCAGGAAGTGTGCTTAACCTCTGAACCATTGCTCTAGCCTCTCCTTGTTTTAAAAAATTGATTCTCGGGCTGGAGAGATGGCTCAGCGGTTAAGAGCATTGCCTGCTCTTCCAAAGGTCCTGAGTTCAATTCCCAGCAACCACATAGTGGCTCACAACCATCTGTAATGAGGTCTGGTGCCCTCTCCTGGCTTGCAGGGATACACACAGACAGAACATTGTATACATAATAAATAAATAAAGTTAATATTTATAAAAAAAATTGATTCTCGGGGCTGGAGAGATGGCTCAGTGGTTAAGAGCATTGCCTGTTCTTCCAAAGGTCATGAGTTCAATTCCCAGCAACCACATGGTGGCTCACAACCATCTGTAACGAGATCTGCTGCCCTCTTCTGGTCTGCAGACACACAGAGATAGAATATTGTATACATAATAAATAAATAAATAAAAAAATTGATTCTCTGTGTATATGTGGATATATGTATGTGAGTATGAACACCATCATGCATAGTGGAGGTCAAAGGACAGCTTTGTGGAGCTGGCTTTTTCCCTTGACTTTGTGTAGGTTGTGGGGATTGAACTAATTTCACCAGACTTAGGTATTAGTTACTTTTCTATTGCTGTAACAGAGCACTACACCAAGGCAACTTGTAAAAGAGTTTAATCGGCATTAAGTTCCAGAGGGTTAAGAGTCTGTAGTAGTAGAGCAGAGACATACATGGTGGCAGACATCTGGAGCAGCAGCCGAGAGGAGAGTCAGAGAGCTAACTCAGAATGGTCCAGTGACATGCCTTCTTCAACAAGGAAGGCTATACCTCGTAATCCTTCCTAAACAATTTCACCAACAGATATTCAAGCATATGAGCTTGTGGGGGCCATTCTCATTCAAACCACCACATATGGCAAACACCTTTATTCATGAATTCATCTTGTGGTCTTTTTTTTTTTTTTTAAGTATATGGCCTTGGCTATTGTCTTGGTAATTGGTTTATAGACCACATGGACTTCAAATTTGTGGTGATTCTACTGCCTTGCCTCCTCTGCTCTACCATGCTTGGCTAGTTTGGCTATTGTACTTTTAGTCCTCCATTTGAATTTTAGAATCAGCATTTTTGATTTATGTGAAAACCCCCTGGGATTGTGCAAATGAGCTGTGAGAAGAACTAACCCACGAGAAGCATTTATTTTCTCATATGGGAGCATGGCTAACTTTTTATCTACCATCTATCTATCTGTCTATCTATCTATCTATCTATCTATCTATTCTTGAGGTATTAGTTCATGTCTTCCAATGGAGTTTTAAATGCTTAAAGATTTTTGTTATGTTTAAGGTAATATTATATAGGTTTGTTGCTGTTGATAGGACTTTGTTTTTTTGAGGCAGGGCTTCACGTATGTGAGTTTCACTTCAAACTGAACTTTGTAGGTGAGGATGACCTTGACCCTGCTGTTTCTACCTCTTGTGCTGTCATTACTGGTATGTGTGTGCTATAACATCCATTTTATGCAATGCTGGGGCTCAAGCCCAGAACTTTGTTCATGCTGGGCAGATCTTGTTTCCAAATGATCTATATTCCCAGCCTGGGTTTATTTTAAGTTAAAAGCTTATTTTCTTCTGTTTCTCTCCCTGTCTTACTCTCTCCTCCTCCTTCTCGCTCACCACCCCCCCCCCCACCCTGCCGTGTGTGTATGTGTGTGTGTAATATGTGTTTGAGTGTTGGCAGTCATCAACCTTAGGTGTTGGTCCGGCTTTCATCTTGTTTGAAGCAAGGTCTCTTTGTTCTTTAGCTGGCCCCTAAGCTTCTGGGAATGTTCCCTTCTTTGTGTCCCATCTCTCCATAAGAGCACTGGAATTTTAGCTGCATGCTGTAGCATACAGTTCTACCTGGGTTCTGGGGTTATGTCCTCAGGTTCTCACTTTACCCGTGGATAGATACATCTTCCTAACCGTAAAAACTATTTTCTAATTGTTATTCCCAGTGTATATGGAAGTATTGGTATTTAAATATTAATCTTGCATCTGACTAGTATGTTGAGCTGTTATTAGTTCTGATAATGTGTTGAAGTATTAATGTTTATATATTGATCTTATATATGACTAATGTATTGAGTTCTTTTATTAGTTCTGATAATGTATCCAAGTATTGATATTTATACATTGATCTTATGAGAGTGATAGTCTGAGTTCTGTTCTTCAGATGTGTGTCACTTTGTAATTATCAGTTGATACTCTCACATTTTCAGTTAGAAAAACATTGCATTATGGGTAATGTGATTTTTTTTAAAGCTCTGAGAATACTAATGAAAGGAGATTCTTCCCCAAATAAAGGTAATAGAACATTTCTGAGAAGGGCAATATTTATTATTGGGGATTTAATGTGTGATCTTTTCATTACAGATATGGCATAAGATATTTCTTCAAGACTGGACAACTGGTGACCTGCTATTTTTGATAGCCTTAAGCTGACTTTATAGCCATAGAGAAACCTCACGGAATTCCGTTGTTGTTTTTGCTTTACACCATTTCTGGCCCCTAAGTTCATCCTGCAACCATGTATGGAAGTGCTCGATCAGTAGGGAAAGTGGAACCAAGCAGCCAGAGCCCTGGGCGATCTCCTCGGCTTCCACGGTCCCCTCGCTTAGGTCATCGGCGAACAAATAGTACAGGAGGGAGTTCTGGAAACAGTGTTGGAGGTGGCAGTGGGAAAACCCTGTCAATGGAGAACATACAGTCCTTAAATGCTGCCTATGCTACATCTGGCCCCATGTACCTAAGTGACCATGAAAACGTGGGTTCAGAAACACCTAAAAGCACCATGACACTGGGTCGTTCTGGGGGACGCCTGCCTTATGGTGTTAGGATGACTGCTATGGGCAGTAGCCCCAATATAGCAAGCAGTGGGGTTGCTAGTGATACCATAGCATTTGGAGAACATCACCTCCCTCCTGTTAGTATGGCGTCCACCGTACCTCACTCTCTTCGTCAGGCAAGAGATAACACCATCATGGATCTGCAGACACAGCTGAAGGAAGTACTAAGAGAAAATGATCTTTTGAGGAAGGATGTGGAAGTAAAGGAAAGCAAATTAAGTTCTTCGATGAATAGCATCAAAACCTTCTGGAGCCCAGAGCTGAAGAAAGAGCGAGCCTTGAGAAAAGATGAAGCTTCCAAAATCACCATTTGGAAGGAACAGTTCCGAGTTGTGAAGGAAGAAAATCAGGTTAGTTTCATTTGTACATTTATCTTTATGGGTTGAATTCAAATATATAAATAAAACAAGGGATTCCTTTTCCTTCTTGTCTTAGATTTCTCCCATCTTTGTTCCTTTATTTTTTATCCTTTTTACTTTAGAATTCTGTTTCTACTTTCTTAGTTATTTCCAGATTTTGGTCCTGTACATGGTCCACAGGTATGTTCAAGCAAAATACTTACACACATAAATTAAAACAAACAAAAAGTCTTAAACCGGTTGGTGGTGGCACAGGCCTTTAATCTCAGCCCTCATAATGCAGAGGCAGGTAAATCTGTGTGAGTTCAAGACCAGCCTGGGCTACACAGTGAGTTCTAAAAAAACAAACAAAAAACTCTTAAAATTTTTTGAGTACTGCCTTGGCTACATAGTGAATTCAGGGCTAACTTGGGGATATATGTTGAGATCTTATCTCAAAATTAAAACCAAACAAACACAGGTCTGCAGATGCAGTTCTGTGGAAGAGCAGTTTCCTAGCATGTGGAAGGAGATTCTTGGACCTGTCTTGCTGCCTTAGATTGTTTTGAGTGTTCCAGGGTTACAGTTTCATGAGTCATTACCTGTATTGGAGCGGGTTTTTTGGTAACACAATTACATTTGAGTCATCTTTACTCCTGTAAGTAACCCCTCACACATATTCTTTTTTTTTTTTTTTTTTTTTTTTTTCGAGACAGGGTTTCTCTGTGGCTTTGGAGCCTGTCCTGGAGCTAGCTCTGTAGACCAGGCTGGTCTCGAACTCACAGAGATCCACCTGCCTCTGCCTCCCGAGTGCTGGGATTAAAGGCGTGCGCCACCATCGCCCGGCTCACACATATTCTTGTAAGTAACTTTAATAAAAAAAAATTCATTGGTTCACCAAAGTAAATAAATAAAAGGTTCAATATGCTTTTAAACAATTAAAGTCAATTCAGCGTTCTCCCCCTATATATGTAGCTTAGGATGGCATGGAGCTCTTCTGTCTCCACCCTAAATGCTTACGTAGCTTTGTGTTAGCTTGCCTGACCACTAGTCTAAGGTGATCTTTTCAAGAGTAGCCTCTTCGTCTCTCAGTCTCTCTCTCTGTCTGTACAGAAATTTAAAGCAATTTTGGTGTTAAACAGAGATTCTATTGAATTACCTACTCATCGATGTGCCTTGCTGAAAATATCATGACCAGTAAGGTAGTTTTATTGTCTAGTGACTTGGAAACGTCTATTTTATTGAGGAAAAACATTACTAGCATTTTTTAAATTTTGAAATAGATAAAGTATTTTCTTATGTCTATGCTTTAGAAAGTATGGGAGTTGGGAGAGAAACCAGTGCAGTATCCTTTCTCCAATTATCACACTACATTCAAAGGCAAAATATTTAAACTTTCAAGAAGACAGTTATGGGTACTTCCTTTTTTCTGGAAAAGAAATAATCCACAGGTTTTTCATGCCAAGAAAACTTTTATGTGCTGAAGAGGGTGAGCACTGCTTTATCTGGGTCCACCCCATGTTCTAATTAAACACCAGTACACACCAGTGCTGGCAGAGACATTCTTCCCGTACCACTGTAATTACTACAGAGTTCTAAAATTGGTTAACTTCGGTTCAAAAAACAAAGGGTGCAATTTTAAAGACAGTACAGTGAGATACAGAGGCTGAGAATGCTAATTAATAGATTATAGTCAGCTAGTGGTAGGCCTCTAATTATATAGGGTATTCATTATCCTCTTCGTAGCTCCTAGAGGTCAGACATCTTTCATTTGTGAAGAAGACTGGTTTATTAGACTTTATAGCAATTAAATACATTTCTCTATTGCAGCTTGAGCCTGGGGATTTTGGTCCATTTTAAATGTTTGATCTGATTGAGCTGGGTCCAGAATCCTATTAGTATAAAAACATATTTGCTTAAGATTGCTTGGTGTGCCTGCTTCATTATTATGGCATTCTCGTAGAAGCTTGTTTCTAAAATAAGAATTCACAGATGTTTTTATATCTTAGACTCCTTCTGTTACTTTACTTTCAGATAGCTGATGATTGGAGAGCTAGGAATGTGTGTGTGTGTGTGTGTGTGTGTGTGTGCGCGCGCATGTGTGTGTGTGCGTGTGTGTGCACGCACACATGTTGGTGTATGTGTGTATATCCATATATGTTTTGACAGAGAAGTTCGTTTCTTCTAAAAAATTATGACTAAGGAAGACTTTAGTGTGAGCTTGATGGAGAAGAATGAAACCTTCCTGTGAGATTTGTGCAGTTGCAGAGCTAATGAGAAGCTTTTGGATAAGTTACAGATATTTTATTTCAATCAGCTACTGTACTTTTTTTGAAAGGGTTGTTTGTTTATGTATGTGAGTGCTTTGCCTGCATGTAAGCCTGCACACCAGACGAGGCATCAAACCCTATTAGACATGGTTGTGAGCCACCATGTGGTTGCTAGGAGTTGAAGTAAGGACCTCTGGAAGAGCAGAGCAGACAGTGTTCTTTACCTCTGAACTATCTTTGCAGTTCCTCACTTTCTTGATTATGCCTTGTAAGAATTCTACGTGTTGAATTTAGTTGGATGCTCAGTTTAAAAATCATTATTTGATAGCAGAGGCGGTGACTCAGTTGGTATAAGGTAAGCCTGAGGACCTCAGTTTGATCCCTATATCCCATGTAACAGCTGGGCATGGTGAGGTGCACCTGTAATTCCAGCACAGAAGACAGCTTGCTGTCCAGCTAGCTAGTCTGGTGACATCTATAAACTCAATGTTTAAAGAGAGATGTAGTCTCAAAAAATGAGGTGGAGAGTGATTCTGGAAGACATGTGACATCAAGCCTTAGCTTCTGTACGAACACATGGATATGTGATGTGCTTGCGTACTTGCATGCTCACATGCCTGCACATTCATGCACACACATACACAAAATAATTATTTTTTTTTTAAATATTTATTTATTTATTAAGTATACAATATTCTGTCTGCATATATGCCTGCAGGCCAAGAGGGCACCAGATCTCATTACAGATGGTTGTGAGCCACCATGTGGTTGCCGGGAATTGAACTCAGGACCTTCGGAAGAGCAGGCAATGCTCTTAACCGCTGAGCCATCTCGCCGGCCCCCAAAATAATTATTTTAATGCTCTGTCACTGAAATTTTGTTTGAACAAAATATTCTGTTTAATATTTTAGGATACCAAGTATGTGCCTTTAATTTTTTTGTTTGTGTTTTGTTAGATTTTGGGCGTGTGTGCAGATAGGCCTGTGCCGTGGTGCATGTGTGGAGGTCAGAGGACAGCTTTTGGGAGCTGGTTTTCATTTTTCTTGGTGGGTTCTGAGGAGCACACTCAGGATCTGGAGATGAATTCTTTTGCCTGTGGAACCATCTAGATACCTCTCATGTTTTCTTTTTGTACAGAGTATTTATTATTTTCGAAATTTGATGCTTCTTCTATTGAGGTGCTCAGGTTTGAACCCAAGGTTTCCTATGTGATAAACAAATGCTTTACCACTGAGCTTCTATACCCCTAGCCTAGGATTTTGATTTTGATTTTAATTTTGTTTATTAGACTTTGCATGCATAGAAATAGGTAAGTGAACGTGAGACATTTCTTCTTAAATTTACTTACCTGGAATGTAGTGGAATAATTGGGAAAAATAAATCAGTGACTCAAAGTTGCATCAATATCTGTTATGGTTTACTTGTAAGGGTATTATCTTCCAGAGAATTGGGGGTTCTTAGTCTGTTCTTTCTTCTCTTGAATTCCATGATGTAATCTAGTGTGGGATTCTTTTTAAAATTTAAAATTTAATTTTTGCTCTTTGGTTTTCTGAGACTGGGCCTCACTGTACTGGTTTTTGATTTTCCTACTTGGCATTGAGTGCCAGGGTCTTGTTTGTGCTGAACAACTGCTGTACCGTTGAGTTACAGCCACTAGTGTTTCATTACAACACAACAGAATTGTTTTTAAGGATTTGCTAATTTATGATAAATTTTCAAAACCGCAGCTTAACTATGATTTGGAAGACTCACTTTTTATGCTCTTGGCAAAAAGAATCAGAAAATGCATTTAGTATTTTGTCAGAATAATCTTTATTTTTTATAGTACTCAGGATCAAGGTGGCCAGCCATTTGGGGGGCAAGCACATTATCTCTGAACCTTTCCCCACCCTAGCTATAGTAATCTCCTTCTATCATGTAAATTCCAGGAGCTAAATTCAAGTTATCATTCTTTTTTTTAAAAAGGTTTTTTTTTTTTTAAACACACACACACACACATACACACACACACACCACCCCACAAGTGTGCCTGGTACCTGTAGAGGTCAGAAGAGGTCAATGGATTCCCAGGAACTGGATTTAAAGATGGTTTTAAGCCATCTTTATGGGTGCTGGGAACGGCATCTTGATCCTTTGCAAGAACAACAAGTGCTTTTGACCATTGAACATCTCTCTAGCCCCCAGGTTGACCAGTGTTCCTACTTTCTGAATCATCTTGTGGCGCTAGTTTAGTAATGTTGATCAGGGAAGTCACAGTTTCATTTTACTTTTCAAAGTCATTCTGTACCTGGCACCCAACATCCTCCTAAGAGTGCTGTTTGTGTCAATAGGTGTGCTGGAGGTCTCTACAAACAGTGGTTTACATAAGCAGTGCCTGAAGAACTAATGAAGAGAAATTAGCTCTAACAGTAGGAAAATTAGTACAAATATTTGGGTTTTAGATTTGGAGTCCTTGGAGGAATGTATTTTCTTTTTTTAAAAAAAGTCTTAGCTGGGCAGTGGTGATGCATGCCTTTAATCATAGCTCTTGGGAGGCAGAAACAAGTAGATCTCTGTTAGTCTGAGGCCAACCTGGTCTACAGGGAGTTCCAGGATAGCGGGAGCTACACATCTTGAAAACCGAAAACAAAATTCTTTATGGTTCATTTATTTTTTCCAAAATGGGAATTAAATTCATACACAAAATACCTTAATTATGGTTAAACAAGATTAAAAAAGATACATGGCCAAGTAAAATATGCC